GGCAACACTCGCACTCACCTTTCTGGGACTGGTCCAGAATTGAACCATCAGAACGTATGAGAATATTCACGAGTCGCCAGTTCTGTTGGGACTTGGCACTCAGCCCGGATGCAGGCGCGGCGAAGCGAGGCAAATGGCTGGACATGAACTGGATGATTCGGAGCTGTTGATGGTCATGCTGGTGCATTTTCATATTCACACCATTTGGGCTGGTGGAGTGCCTCTTATGGCCAGGCTAGACAAATTATGGCCACGATTCTGACTACTTGTTGGACTCTGAAGGGCTCTTAGAGAAGAGGCTGGCAGTGCTGCTGCTCCGGCGATAAGCATTTGCGTGATTAATGAAATTTGATGCCCCTGCTCAGGAGAACGGCGCCGAAAAAGAGCTGTGAACGGCGCTTGAGTGGAGGAACCAAATAGGAAAGGCTATCGCCGAAAATTAAATACCTTTTTTCTCTTTTTTCGATCAATGCTTCTATGACAGCTATATATTGTAGTGCTCCGATCTAGCCAGTTCCGACCTTTCATGACGATAGCTTTAAGACTGAAACACTAGTTTGCATCGAAAGAGATGCGGCTGTTGATACTGATCATGAATGTATATACTTATTTTATGGAGTCGAAGAAGTCTTCTTCCATTTCCATGCCATACACATTTTGGCACACAATAAAAATACCCTCAACAAGGGCATATTAAGAAAGGCTAGCGAAAGGTAAGCTAAGGCTTTTGCACACCTTTCCACAAAGCAATTGCACAATCGGTCAGCATGACTTATGAATATGGGCAGACAGTGGGCGGGCCAACTCGTCTCACAATATCTAATTGGCTGGCCTGGCCAGTACAATATGGTCCAATTAGAATTTGTAATCGCGCACGCTTTGCCCATTTGAATTTATATCGAAATTTAATTTAATTAATAGACCGCCAAGTGGGGCAAAAGTCGGCCAGGTGGTGTGTCCACTGCCATTCTTATTGGCCAAACGCGCGCCTATCGCAGCGGGAAGTGTCAAAAAGTCAACTCAATAACTGTTTATTTAACTGGCATATTTCCAATTTCCAACTTTGTGGCCTAGTTGCAATTGGCGGCTGTGTGTGAGTCAGGCCCAGACCGAGACTCAGTTAAACTGGTAGTCAACAGCTTCGTTGGAGGCTCCACGTGGCGAAATTTGAGCCTCTTTGCATGTTGGCAAATGTTTTGAGCCCGATAAGAGCTGCATTTTATTTGCCCAATCAATTTGATTTCACTTGCGCTGTTTGGATAACTCAATAGATAGTTGCATAAGGCTTGATAGCTACGGAAAGGCACAAAAGCTTAACTTTAAGGGTTACAGAAAGTCAACAATTGAACTACTTCCCATAGATGGTTTTGTTGTTTCTCTATAAGTAGAAACATTGAATTTAAGAAATTAGGAAGTACCAAACTTGCGTTCATTTTAAATCAGAAAGATCAAAATGAAAGAAAATCTGCCGTGAATAACTCAACAAATTTTAAAATGGCTTAGCTTTCCTTGGCATCTCTAAGACAATTGCTGTCAATTTGTGTTCAGTAAGATAAGTCACTATTTTTAGCTGTTTTTAAGATTGAATTCAGCTTGTTTTTGAAGCGGCCTTTTATCACACTGACAACAGTTGTCAAAGTCGGCGACTAGCTCATATCAGTTCGCTCTCAGAACGCTTGCAGCATTTATTTCCAATTCCATTCACTTTCAATTTATTTTTGGCCAATCTGCACATTTTCCCATCTCTCTTTTACGATGGCTGCCCACCTGATATAGTGATCGATATCCATAATGGGCGACTAGCTTATACCGCGCCCACATCTAAGCCTACACGCCCATTTGCTACCGTTTAGCCAGATTGATTTCATGCCAGCCGCTGCACGACTCGCTGATCATTTCCATTTTCCAGTGGCAGCCGCACAACGCCCACAAATGTGGGCGAGCCGCATTTTCCCAGAGGTGGCCATCAATCAAATTCGAATACCAGTGCGAGGACGAGAACTGCACTTCACTTGCCTTTGTGGCATGGTGGCGAACGGGATGCAGGGGTGCTGCAGTTGGGACCCTGAGCGCTTTTGGTTGTTAAAATTGTAGCGGCATCATTTTTCATATCCGCGGCAAACAACTGCCAGAAAAAGCTAAAAAAAACAATATACAGTCGAAGGCATGGAAATCGAGTAGCAGCTAACAGCGGGAGCCGCAATTGGACCTGGAGCTCGACCTGGACCTGCAGCTCGTGTCTGTGGAGCTGTGGATGTCGAATGCGTGATCGCCAGTTGTTGCGTTTCTTTCGACTGCGCCTCCCTCCCGAATAACGCTTTGTTTTTGTACTAAGCAAACTAGTCATCGCCGCCCCCTACCATTGGCGGCCCACCCCCCTGGCCGTTACTTGCTTTGTGTGCGCAGCGAATGTTTCGATGCGCGCGAATTTGTTGCAATTTCTCATTGTCAGCAACGCGTTCGCCGGTAAATTTTGATTAAACGCTCCACGGGAATTCACTTTGCTGGCCCGTTTCGCGTTTCGAGTTACTCGTGCGCTTTTCTATATCCTGTACCCATGGAAAGTGCCCAAATAGAGGGTATAATGCACTTGTTCCAGTGCTTGATCCATTCGTGGAGCTAAGTTTATCTAGCCAGAGCAGAGATATAAACAGCTTGACAAGCAAACAATTTTATTTATGTTTCAATTTTATACTAGTTTATATTTTATTGAATATCGATAACTCGATTTCTTCAATATCGATAAATATCGATGCAGCCATGTTATGTTAAGCAAATTTGAAATATATTTTAGTGAATGCCTTTTCTGATAACTCTTCTCGATTTCTCAAACATCGATAAATATATGATATATATATATATATGAAGAACGTGTATGAATACAGGGTGTCTTATGGACGGGCAATCTTGATTGCAGTACTCTTACCTGGTTTTTGGAGCTTTTTTTTGTGTACTCTCCGATAGCTGGACCTGCTGTCCTTGCCCACTTTCATTTGAATTTGATAAATGATGCTCGTCCCAGAGCGATATGTTATGCAATTTAGGGATTTGTTTTTGGTTGCGATATTGCGGAAAAAAACCTTAGTTGGTTAAATGCTAGCACATCGCAGTTATAAATGAATACGGCTTTTGAAAATCAATTAGAAGGTCTGCTAGGTGAAAGCGCACCTATCTACAGCAGCTAAATACAAGCTTCTTTTTTGTTCAAGGAAACCTGATTAAAGAGATGGCTACAAATGAAGTGTGCAGAGGCTGCGGGAGAGCAACGGCGGTGCGCATTAATAGCGCCTCAATAACAAGCTGTAATAATAATTTTGGTCCAATTAATCAGCGTTAAATCAGCGAACCGACCTCAAGCGACGCGATTCCATTCGATGTTCACCAATTGCCGCCTTTGTTTTGCCAGCCTTTTTGTTATTATATGTATATTCCTCTTGTTGTTGTTGTGCCCGTTGTTGAAGCGGATCAATGTCTGGGAAAGTAGCAGATGCCCAAGTCGATGTCTGGTTCCATTAAGCTTAAATAATATTAAAGCAGCAGGCAAGGGAATTCAATTTGTGCAATAATATTGCTAGAGTTTTAAATTTTGAAGCTGAGTATATAATTATGTAGATTCCTCTTTATATGGTTTCCTGATTAGTCTTATTCATTTTATTTATATATTTTAAACTTGCGCCTATAGATGAAAAAGTTCAGTTTAAAGTTATAAATTAAAGATGAAAACTTGGATCGGGACAACAGAGTAATAATATACAACATATGTATGCATGCTCAGAAATGCCAAACGCAGGCCACTTTTAAATATGTATGTATATATGTACGTAAGTATGTATGTACGCAGGTATATGTATTTATGCATGTGTTCGCATCTTTGTTGTTATGTATGTATGAATGGATGTATGTACAGATGTTCTCTTATACCAGAGGCAGGCCAAGTTTACAGCGCTGTAAATTTAAATAAAACGAATTTTCCATCATAGCTGCCCTACGCAATTCTCATAAATCTAAGATGGCTCAGCAGGTGGCCATGCTTTGAAAGTTAATGCAGTGTTACATTAGTAATATTGTCAAGTAAAAAAGTTATATTTATATATGTTCAAGTGTGTGCACATATATTTTATACATATATTTTATTGATCTATATGTAAATACGAAAACAATTCAGACCTGAGCTCAGATCATCTCCTAGTTACATACACATGTCCGTCATATTGACAATAATTGTCAATTTGATGGGTTTCAAGTGTTTTCGTTGTGGAACCTTTGACTTGAACATTGTTGTCTTTACCTTTTTGCGCTTTTGTAAATACATAAAATTGCCCAGCATCGGTTGTCTCGTTGCCTGATTGTTTTCGATGCTTTTAGCAACTGATTTTCAACTTAATTGCTTCGTTGTGGGTCTGTCTCGAATATCCAACGTCTGTCAGCAGGCAACGGGTGAGCCGTAGGTGGTCCCATAACGAGCTAATGAAATGTGAGGTTGGTAAAGAATATTGTTGGGTCTCAGCAATGAGTCAGGAACTGTCAAAACTGACGACTCCACTTGCCAGAAAGAAAAACATAAAATACATGCAAATTGTGCGGTAATTGCTTAACTTATCATCATCAACGTTGGGTTTAAGTGATTTCGATGCTGTTGAACTTTTGTAAATGCTTACAAAAAAGAAGAGGTGTGTCTTTGGAATGCCAAAAAAATAGTATTTTTAGACTCATACTTCGTTTTCATAACAGCACTATAAAACATTTTTACTATAGGAGCTACATATGTACATGTATAAATGATATACTAGGATATATTAAAATATATTAAATATATTTTTCAAACATAATATTTCCAGCATCCGAACATATCGACTCTTATATACATATAGGCAGAAATGCTTGGATTTATAGACTGGGTTCTAATGAATTCTGCATTGCCTCGCAGGGTTACATAAATCATAAATAATATTTGTATAACAGTTTCGAAAAAGAAACTATGCGTATTCCTTTGCGCAGGTCTCAGACTTATCGATAAATGGCAAATGCCCAGTAGCTTTTTGCAGCTGACAAAGTCGTTGAACACGTGCAATATACAATAATAAAAATTGATTGGTATCAGCAATTAAGTTCCAGTTTTGCAAGCTATTTGGATTTCTGTAAGTTTGACTTGACTTTGGATTTGCTAATTAACACATCGCGAAGTTTGTGTTGCGTTTAATTAATGACGCCCATTAAAATTTGTAAATGTGTGCGTCCCCTTGACCAGAACAGGCTCTGTTTATTTTTAGAGCGGAAAGCAAAACGGCAGCTGCCATTTTTTTAAGTTGAGCGCGTTTAATTTGCATGAGGATCAGGAAAAAAACCAGTCGACCAATCCACCAGCTATAAACTGGCCAACTGCTCCGCCTGACCCTCTGTGTAGGTGTCGTTGTCAACGCCGGCTCAGCCCCGACTTGTCAATATCGCTTACATCATCATCATCAGCATCATCATTATCATTGCCAGCATCATATTGGATGCCCAACTAGACAATGTCAACTCCGGGGGCAACCGGCCAACAGCGTGGCGCACATGTCAACCCGTTTGCTGGCTACCCAAGTCCAAGCCCTTGTCACTGGCCACTTGGCTGTCAGCCAGCGGCGCCTGCGGTTGACACTTTTTCGCGCCGACACGCCCGCTAATCCTCTCATGCATAGCATCAGACGAGGTCGAGGTGGCAACAGCAAACGCGATGACTTGACACTTTGCCCAGAGACAACAGCGGACCCAGCTGGTGGCCGAGACCCAATTTGTTGCGCACAAACCTTGGCTATAATATTTATATTAGCCCTAAACCCTTCCATATCGTTTACACGTTGTGCTCTCAAGTGAAAAACCTATTCAAATAAATAAATACATAAATATACTTATTTACAGCTTGTTTGGGCGATACCTACTCAAGATGTCCAGTCCCAAGCCGAAGCCGGAGAATAAGAAGAGGTAAGTCTGCGTTTAGCTGAAGTCGATTTGTCAAAATATTTTGCAGACACCCATTGAAAATGACATATAAGGATATAATAGTTTTTGCAAATGCAAAATCACAGAACACTTTTAGCGCCAAAAGGAATATATGTATTGTTGATCAGAAGATAAACTGAGTCGATATAGCGTAATATAATCTATACAAGCTAAAGTCTTGAAATTTAAAATTATCAGCTCCCATACCATACGCAGAAAAAGGTTTTTATTTTTCCTTGATATTTTTAAAACAAATATCGATAAATATCGATTTTTTGCTAGAAAATCATAAGAGCTAGATACACCGAAATTTCTCGTATAGAGTATAAATATTGAAAGTATTTTTTTTTTTCCTATACTCCTCCATAATCTTACAGCCAAACGCAGCCGAGCTCTGGCTTTGGCAGCGTCATGGTTGGTGTCTTATTTGACGACGGCATTGTGCTGGCCATTCACACAATGGGTAATCTTATATACTATCTGGATGATCATATCTAGTAAGCGGTTCGAATAAGTAAGCTCGGCCTTTCAATTAACTAGTTTAATTTAGCTGTGGCGCCAGTAGCACAGGATTTGATCGAGAGTCGCTGATGGAGGTTTCTACAAAACTGGAGAATATAGCGCGCAACAATAGCAACAAGGGCGTAACAGTGGCCCAAGCGCTGGACCTAATTGTCAAGCTGTACGAACAGGTGGAGACTGCAGAGCTGCTGCTGGCTGGCGAGGATCCGAGTGGATTGCATTTGATAGCACTAAAGTGTCCGGGCACCAGTGCGCGTGTCAATTATGCGGCTCTGGGACCAGGTTCGGCAGCGTCTTCCGAATACCTCAAGAGTCAATGGCGCCCGGATATGAATCTGAGGCAGGCGGAACAGCTGGCACGCGCAGCGCTTTTAATGGGTAATATGAGTAAAGTTGGAGTCGATGTCTGCATCATATTCAAGCGCTCGCCGGAGTCAGCAACTCGAGTGGAAGGCCATGATTCATCATAGCAATCGAAGAAGTTGCAATATCATATCTATCGATTTGACTGATTTTGCTTTACAATTCTTAAATGTTTATTTTGTAGCATAAATAAATTAATTGTTGATGCTCCCCAGCTGGCTCCAAATAATTAACCACATTTTTCAGCATTTCAGCTGAGGCAGCAGCAGCAGCAGCGGCGGCGGCAGCCAGGAATAGATTATCTCTCTAGCTATAATAAACGTCCTGGTCATGGACGTCTATGTCTCTCTGAGCCCAGTTTGGCCAGATGATTATCGCAATCGCTGGTGCCCTGCTGCAGGTAAATGCAGAGTAAGCACAAATGATTTATGCGCCCAGGCAGCATATAATTAATAATGATTAAAAGCTGGCGCCCATCAACAGCCCCATGGACATGCTCATAAGCAACTCCGATTCCTTGGCTGTATATAAAGCTACTAATCGCTCCGGACATCGCCAGAGACGACGGAACTTTCCTACGAAATGAAAAGTGGTATAGTCGCGAGATCCACTCTCTGGCGCCCTGGAGACGGCCCGCTGTGTGGATTAAGTTGAATTTATATATGGCATTTGAATGTTTCTCATATTGGCCACGAGTTCACGATTCATTGCCAGCCTTCCTGCTGCCTGGTTGGTGTGCGTGACCAGGTTTCATTTTCATTAGCCTCGTTACCCTCGGCCTCAAGGCTCTTTGGGGCCTGGCTCGGTGTGTGGTCTGTGCTCCATTGACAGCACCTGGGTGGCATTATGTTGTCAGCCTCTTGATTTTTACCGCAGCAAAGTTGCTAATTGATTTTGGCCCTGCAAATTGTTTTGGAAAGATCTTTTGTATTTCTGCGGTGTCATAATAGCAATTATTTTAATAACTTATTATTTAGGGCCAAGCACGCCATGTATATTTATACAATACATTGTTGAGTTGGCAACGAAAGGGAAACCTTGTGGAGGTTTTGAATATACGTAAAGGGATTTTCGCATGATCCGGAAATTCCCCGCGGCCCATCTCCAATCTGTTGTTTATTTAGTTTCATTTTCTGGCTTTTGGTAGTGACGATATTCCTCCTTTAGTTCCCACATCTGTCTATGAGCCGGATCCTTGCTATAGTCGCCAATATCCTTGAGTATAGCCTTCAACACAAACACCGATTGCTTGGTAATGAATTGCAGATCCTTCAGCGTATAGTATTGATGCTTCTCAAAGGCCTGAAACAGCATATCCATGATGTTCTCCTTGCTGAGCACCTTTGTGGCATCCTTCTTGCGTTTGCCATCATCCTTCTGGAAAAGACATTGAAAAGGGATCTGAATGAATGTTTAAGCTGGCGGTAACTGAAACAAACATTGTGAGCATGATTGCTGACAGGCTTGTAGCTCTTCACAATATGATTGAGGGCTTCGGCGCTGCGCATGGGTCGTACGCCCCGTATGGACTGCTGCTTCATCTTCAGGTACTGAGCATTGCATATGGGCAGACATTCCATCTTGTGGGTTACCCAGCCTTCCATGACGGAATCTGTATCATCGATTGTTGAAAATATGCCCGTAAGCCGTGCCCCTTTTATGGCTTTGCACAGCTTCAGGTCGTGCTCGCTGGCTAAGAGTTTGTCTGGAGCCAGTTGCATTAGGTCCTGGCTTAAAATCAATTTCACCTTGGCTGGTTCCTTATCGTCGCCGGACTTTTCCATGCGCATTGTTGCCACTTGCATATCGTTTGGCGCCTGCTCCCACATTTGGGCCACATAGTTGGGCACCTTTACTAGCCAAATACCGCGCGAAGCCTTTGACATATCCATCTTTTTTTTCTTTTGAATTTCTTGCGACATATTTTTGAACAAAACTTCGTAAGTTCACAGAGAACAAGAACTTGAACGCGACAGAGCTCAATGGAAAATGAAAAAATGCCACTTACAATTCAAACAACAATTATGCAAAGGCATACTTTGATATATATTAAGTTAAAAACAGAAATTTATCTAACATTTTTGTAATGCTTACTTTAAACTGAGCGCCCAAAGCAGTTCAAAGGTTTTTACTGAACAACAATTGAACCAGTGTTGTCAAAAGTCGCTATACATATGTATAGCTAAATCAGTTTAAAAAATAGCCAGAGTAACAGGTATTATTTAAATTTCAACAGATTCCGACCTCTGAAAACATATAAATTTAGTTGTAAGCTAGCGATTTTGGGAAGGAACCGGAACTTGAAAGCTCGATAGCAAGCCTAACGCATCCCTGGACTATGAATATTAATATACCAAATATGGACACATTCATTCAATACTGTGTGCTGGGCAGGTACATCTAAATTGTATACCGTTTTGTTATTATGTTGACAGCAGCGACTGTTAAATCAAGTCTGTTTTTTATTTAACGTCAAGTCAAGCGGGCTAATTATTTATTATAATATTAACATTCGTTTTACGAGAAATTGTTGAGAAGCGAGCACCAGCAAAAATGGGAAAAAAGAAGAATCTACATGCGGCAAGTCGAGTTATAATTTACTCATCTTATATTATTATTTTTATATTTTATTTGTTTTATTTTAGCAAATTTATGGCAAAGCGTATAAGCCAGCACCTGTTAAAAAAATGCCGGGTAAGATTTTTACCATATTTTGAGGTTAGCCAGACAAAAACAACAACAGACGCAAATGCCACAAAAATGTTATTTTTCGAGAATTTGAAAACTTACGAAATGTATTTCAGTAGCTAATGCCGAAGCAGATGCTCCTCAACGTCCGGGAGCAGCAGCTTCTACAGCAGCAGTATCAGCAACCGCAGCTCCAATAGCAGAGGGAACACAACCGCAACCTGCTCGCCCCACACCACGTCAGCGTGTAAGTTGAACTCTGTTTAGCTTTTAATTAATTCTTGGCAGTATCTTTGCATTTTTCTTTCTCTTAGGGACGTCCGCGCAAGAATCCTTTGGCGCCCGATGCCGCCATGAAACGAGAGGACAGTGTGAACAATACGAATGCCATAGTCAAGGTACTGCTGCGTTCGCTGAAGGATCACAATAAGCCCATGGCTACTGTCAATAATGGATTTGCACGTGGTCTCAAGCCGGATACAATTGTTGCCGGCTTTCGTCATGAGGGTCAACTAATGTTTGCTGTCAAGTTCAAAAATCGCAAGTTACCTGAGTTAATTAGTTCGATGGAATTGAAGCTGCGAGCACCCAGCCTGTTGATTCAATACTACGTTACGAATTTGCAATACCCACACAATGAATGATTGATTTATTTTTACAATATAAATATATTGTATTATAGTAGAAGAAATAATAGAAAGCCCTAAAGATATTGTCGGTGGATCGGCTTACGATTTGAACTGTCTTTCAGCCTCAGCCATGGGACCAAATTTGGGCTCAAACTTTGGTTAGTCACATATTTTTGTTATTGACACAATTTTTTTTAATTACTTCATTCATGATTTATTATTTAATTTATGATTGCACAAACATATTTTTCTAGAAAAACATCTTTGGGGTTGATTCTCCTTCAAAAGTTCCTTATTTTTAACGAAACCATCTTTGATGAAATATTTGGTTCGTTTCGGGATTCAGTTCCGCTGTTTGAGAAAAATTACTTTGCAACTGGCTTATATTAAGAAATAAATGAAATTTAGTTTCAAAGGGGGTTGGTTTCAAAACCATTGCGGTCTTGCTGTTCACCTTAGGGCAAATGTAAATCTTTTGGGCAACTGCACCATACAATAGCAGCCACAGGTGTCTTTCGTGCATCAGTGAGTACAGTCTTCGCTCAGAAAGTAAAACGGTCGCGAATTAGAGTTTTCGAGAAGTTAGCACTATCATATATTCGCAGTTTTTTAATCATTAAATCTTAGAGCAGAAAAAAACAAACGAATCTTTTGGCATATCTGGGAGCGTTTGGTCCAACATTTAAAAAGTAATCGTAGGGAGGTTGAACAAGTTGCTTAGAGAGTCTCAGTCACAGTAGGCTGTCCTTGTTGATCAATTACAATCAAATCAATCATATATATATATAATTTGTTTCTTATAAAAAAACCAAAGAGTTTAATTTTCTGAGCGACCACTGTACTTACAGATTTGCAAGTTCACGTCGCATTAAGGTTACCATCACGCTCTGGTTCACATATAAATTCAACTGGTTGCCGGGCCAAATGCAATACCAGCGCACTCATATATATTCTGCGGCGTTCGCGAGGTACCGCCTGATGGCAAGGAGGGGCCGACTACTACAGCAGCCACAATGCCGCAGATAAATTTTCATGTTGTCACACCTGCGCCTCGCATGCACACGTAAATATATCTTCGAAGCGAGCCGCCAAAAGGTGGCATTTGCAACAATTTCAGGCGAAATAAGATATCAAGGGAGAGGCACTCGATTCAGTTCGCACCCTGCCAAAAGAGGTGTAAAAAATTGAAAGCGAAATATTATTAAAATGCCGCATTGTCGGACGTCTTTCAGTGGCGGTTGCAGTGGCCGCTGTGGCTGCTTCTTGGAAGTGGAATCTCTCTCTCTCCCTCTCTGTCTCTCGGACGCGCTGCCTGTCTCTGTCTCGCGATGCGTCTTTATTTATGGCGTATATTTGATTTTCGAATTTCGTCCCTGGGATTCGTGTCTCGTGCTGTTATCGCCATGGCATTGACATTTTGACTGCGCCTCCGCTGGGCAGGCGTGTGTTGCAAGAAGGAGACCTCGCTGCATAAATATTTGCTTATTTATGTTGCAAAGTCAACACTCTGTACACAAAGTACACAAACTGTGGCTGTTTATTGGTTTCATCAATACGGGGAGGGAGCTGTGCTGCATGCGGGTTAACATTTTTGGCTTTGCCATGCAACAGGCTCGATATAAGCCCAGAATCAAGATAAATGTGCAAAGTTGCACGAAATAACTCGGCGAATGATTAAAGGTTTCAAGATAGGGATTTACACCGATGTGATTTAAAGATTAAAAAGAAAAACATTTATTTATATAGTAAGTGCTGCAAATACCAACCTACATTATGAAAATCACTCATACGCAGAGTTGCATAATTTTAAATTATTTCAATACATTCATACACAATACTTTTAATACACAATACTTTTAACAGTTCACAATTCTATTTGTTAAATATTTGTGAAGACTGAACGGCTGCCAATAAAGAAAACCGTTTTATACACTTCGATAAAGTTTTATAATAATGACATAAAATGGGTAACACATATTATCGATAGAGTACCGTTCTTGAATATATCTTAACCCAACTCAGCAGCAGCCATAATTCTTCAAGGGTATTTAACACTCGACGTGCTGAATATAATTATATACTTATTCAGTCAACTTTTAAATCGAAGCATTTTTGCTGTCTTCGCACTTGCTTCTTATCGACAGCAATTCTTTGATATACACAATTTATTATCATAATTTTTTAATCATTCTGCTCAAGTGACCCACTCATTGTCAGCTGTGTATGTGTATACGAACTCCTCGTACCATTGTTCAGTGCAGATTAAAAATTGTTCACATCGGCTCGGCAGTTTATTATATGGCGCTGTGGTCTGTGGTCTGGCTCCGAGCCGAGAACTGTATCCGGTTCTTTTAACTACCCAATCATAATTCACCGGCCAGCCAGGCGACGCGCCCATGAAGCGAAAGGATAATCGCGAAATGCGTGCGCGACCTCCAAAAAAAAAAAAAAAAGAAGCCGCATACCCCTGCGTCTGGGGGTAATAATTTAAAAAATTGCTCTATTATTTATTTGAGCATATGTCAATGAAATTTATTTATTTATTCACAGCAGCAACAATAAACAAAATGCCTGTGAAGTCAGCGTGCTGTTAATGAGCAGCCTGATGGGTGGATGCATGCGGCAGAGGCTGCTGTGCGGGGGCTGGTAACCGTCGAGGGGCAGCCGCTGTTGACGTTAATTGACCGCAACCATTTTTTTGTTGCAGCGTGCAGTAAATTTTAATGAAATTGCTGCCGTGCACTGCGAAATGCTGTTGTTGTTGTTGTTGTTGGGGCGTGGCCAGCGCATTGCTGCATCTGCATCTGGATCTGCATCGGCTCAAAGTGCTGATGACACGCCTGTCAGCGACACTTTGCGCCGCTTGTTGCATAAAAACATTTACAAAATAAAATAAAAATGTATATATAAAAATAAAACTTAAAACAAAATATAAAATCATGTAAATTGCCGAGGCTTAATTTTCGACGCACTGACAGCGGATAAGCGGGCTATGTTGGCGAGTCTGTTTAACATTTTGCTTTCTGGCCATTTTTGATGTTGCTGCATTTATAAATTAATTAAAAATAAATTACTTTATGTTGCATGTCACATTTCATTAAACTTAGCAAGCGGCAAGGTTGTCCAAGTAACCCTTCGGGCAATATAAATAAATAAGTACGTTGCATTTTTAATGCGGCACAAGTTTGGGACAAAATTTCTATGGAGAATATATGAAAAATGTTCTAGCACACTTAAAAGAAGAGACCTAATAATTTATCTTTCATGCTATAAAATAAATATCTAAAATATGTAATTTTATTACTTTAACAGAGTTTTCTGACCCTGAACAATACAATTATATTCTTAAATCAAAATGTTGTAATACAGGGCCAACATTTTTAAACAATAATCCTAGAATAAGCGAAAATGGAACCAAATAAATTATATAGTTATATTATTTAGTGAAATTTAGAAATTCAAGTCCCACAATTTCTTTTGTATTCATATATTTTCATATATTATATCATTTACATTAATTAGGAAAATGTCTTTCCATCATACAGATTTTAAAGAAAACTCGCCTTTTCAAAAAAAAGCGTTTATAATTTTTTCTGAGTGTACATACTACCTAATCTAATTGGAAATAATTTGGGCGCCTATTGCCCAAATCGAATAATGCATCATAAATAGCTCTTTAATTGTCAAACTTGGCAACTAATTCAACTAACCGCCGGGTTTTGGGTCTGACCCGAAAATTGGTTCATGTGTAGGATTGAAAAGAATTTGATTAAGCACGCCAGAGCAAGTGAATGGTTCTCTGTAATTTGCCTAAAACTAACAAGCTGAGTTAGTTAGACTGACAGAGAGATTTAGCAAATGCCGCTGGCATAATACCGAATTTAATTTAAGAGAGACTTGCTGCTGACTTGACCTGACCCCAAAGGTTGCCGAGCAAACAGAACTTATTAAACCAAAGCAGTGGCTATAAGGGGGGAAGGGAAGCTGTAGGGCGTGTCCGGTTGGTTAAGTGGCAAAATAACAGAGGCTCTCGAAGTTCGGACTTGAGCCCAAACTGGGTAAGGAAATTACAGGCACACACTTGGCTCGAGTGCTGCAGTCGGCTCGCAACAAAACCGCAAATTAGTTGGCTGCCTCGACGGACCACAGATGGCAAAACAAAAACAACAATAACAACAAGAACAGAAACGGCCACAGCAAGAACAACAAACAGAATGAGAGCTGCCAGTTGCCAGTTGCCCCCAATGTCAAGCGCATCCACATCCACATACACAGAACAAACCCAAAACCAAAGCGAGAGACAAAATAAATAAGAAAATATTGGTCGAGCTGCCGTCGCCGGAGGCGTCTTTCCAGGAAACCCAACAAGAGGCACAGCCACAGCAGCAGCAGCGGCGGCAGCGGCAGCTTCACCCCCATGACTGGCTTCCTTGGCTTCCTCAGCCTCTGTTGCAGTCTCTTATCAGCTCCCGCTGCTGGTGTCCCACTTCAAAAAATGTTGACGCGAGCATCGCTCCAAATCGCCGTCAACGTTGTCATCGGCGTCCGTTGTTGCTTGTATCGACTCCAACTCCATCTCCATCTGCATCTGCATCTCCTCCATATGTACTTGTGTGTGCACTTAGATGCCAACGTCAGATAAGCTCGCCCCAGCCAAGTGGCCACGACTCCTCCGGCTGCTTCTCGTGCGCATCACGCGTTCGCTTTTGTTCATAAATTATAATTTTATGATCACGAACATCTTCGTGGAATATGTTGGCCGTTGCCGTTGCCGTGGCTTCATTGTCGCCATCGTTGTCGCTTCCAAAGACGCGTTAAATATTAAAGTGTCTGCGCGAGAGACTGAAAATTGGCTTCGCCCGGGCGTTGGCTTGGAGCAGTGTCATCGTTTGTGTTTGCCATTTGTGTTTACACTAATTGAAGAACTCCACGTGGACACTCACTTTGACTTCGTCACAGCCATGGACACACTTTAAGAGCACAATATCCAGCACCATCTCAATGCCAAGCGGCTTCCGTGGCCAGTGGCGCAGACGCAGACACAGACGAGACCCAGTTCTCTTCTGTCTCTGGTTTTAATCGTAAAAATTCTTTATTGCCTCC